AAAAAAAAAAAAAATACAAACTGTCAGGCCTCAGACCTGCACAGACATCTGTCATCACAGCCACATGCAGCCAAGGTCCTGGCGGTAGCTGGCGGGTAGTGACAGGCCAGGTGAGACAGGGGTGGGCTTTTCAAGGCCCGACAGCCAGCCGGCACTAACTGGCGGGAACCTGCAAAATGCGGGCCCGGCCCCAGAGCAGCGTCTTCCGCCTAGAAGTTTTCCCACAAATGGAAACATCTAGGTCATTCCCTGACCTCCCACCTCATGGGTCGTCTCAGCCCTGTGCTCAGCCTGGGATTCTGCCTCCTTGGTGTCCTTCCGGCTACTGGTAGAATGTCCACTACCTCAGAGCGGCCCCCAGCCCCTCCTCCCAGCAGCCGCATCCCCCCTTTCCCTGCCACACTTGTCCCCAGAACTGCCTGGACACTAACGTCACTTCTAGCTCACCCAGCGCTGCCCCATTCCCAGGGATTCGGACCGACTTTGTCTACGGCTCTGTTCACAAGCCTAGTACCACGCCTGATGCATCGTGGGCACTTGAAAAATAGCCAAGTGTTTTTACCGTACCCTCTGGCTGTCCCTGTAACTCAGAAGCCCTCACTCGTTTGCACCCACAGATGTGCCTGCATGTTCTGTGTGGACTGGTGCAAGCCTGACTTAAACAGCGCTAAATGGCTCTCACACCGATGGCCCCCAGCCCCGGGCCTGCCTGCTCCCTGAAGGCCTGGGCCTTCGTCTCCTTCCACCCCTCCTATCCCCTAGCGGTGGAGATCGCCCGAGGTTCCTTGAGGTTGTGGGCAGTGCCAGGCGTCAGCAGTAATCACGATGCCTTTAACAGACAGCAGTGACCGCCGCAGGGGCCGGCAGCAGGCTCTGGCCGCCGCCGCCTCTTATTCACCCGCCCTGCGGCTCCTTTTGCAGGAGAGCGACGTGAATACTGGGGGTTGCATGGTGGTGCAGGCCGAGCAGCCCGGGAAGTGGGGTGTGAGGAGTCCAGCCCAGGTGTGCTGACGAAGAGGCGGGAGCTGGACTCGTGTCTGCAAAACAGCTTCCGCCAGGCGGGAGGGAGCGGCCACCCACCTGGGGAGGGCAGTGTCTCTGTGCAGGTGGCCGATGGGCTGCAGGGAGGCTCCGAACTGGCCTGGCCAGTGTGTGGCCCTGGCTGTCCTGAGCAGAGGCAGTGACACCGGTGCAGGGAGGTGGCCCCTGCTCACTCCTCCGGCTACACTGGGGGGAGCGTCCTGGCTTGGTGCTGCCCGACCTGCACAGCCACCCCTCCTGTGCCAACAGGAGAGCGCGGCACCCCGGAGGGCGAGGCGGCAGCACGGCTGGTTCACATCGCAGTGCACAGCTTATTCCTTCTACGTACGGTGGCTGCTCCTCACCTCGTTCATTCAGGGGAGTGGAATTAAGCTCTTTGAAAAAGTAAACCACTGCAGTTGGTTTCTGAACAAGCCGCCAGTGGGGCCGATGGCCACAGACACCGTGAGGACTGGACGGTGAGGGCTGGCTGCTGGCTGCAGCCATCCTGCCTCCCCAGGATGGGACCTGCTAACCCTAAGCGCCCTGAGGTCCGCACACCCCAAGCAGCTCCCTGGCACCCTCCAAGGCTCCCACAAGGAGTAGCCAGAGTCCCTGTGGTCACCCACACCCCCTCCAAGACCAGTCTCTGCGGCCAAGGGGCCTCTGTCTGTCCTCGGATCTGCCAGGCTCGTCCACCTCTGAGCCTTTGTCCATGCTGTTCCTCCTACCTGGGATGCTGTTCCCTGCTCCGCCCAAACTGGGCCCTTCACCTTTCCAGTTGCTATGGCCCCACCCCAGATATCTCACGCTCCTTTTTTTTGTCTTACATTTTCAACTCTGCATCTTATCAAAGGCGCCATCGGCTTTTACATATTTACCTGCTTATCTCACCGCTGTCCCCCTGTGGGCCTAGATGCCAGTCCCAGGAGGGCGGGGCTCCTGGCTGTGCCTCACTGTTCTGATGCCTGGACCCGTGCCCTGCGCATAGCAGGTGCTCAATAAATATTTCTGGAATGAACGAATTCAGGGCGCTGCAAGCAGATTCAACCCTTCGCTCGCTCTTCACAAACTAGGAGAAGGACAAAAGGGCTGGTAACGAGAGGTCAGCTGGCCTGGGGCTCCAGAGACCTAGGAAAGGAAAAGCTGGCCTCCACCTGGCCTGTCAGACATTCTGGAAAGTGGGATGGTGACCACCCGGTGCGTCATTCACCTGCAATCAGCAGTCCCGAATGCTGCGTTGTCAAAAAGCAAGCTGCCTGTGCAGACAGTTTGTGGTTTTTAGAGGATTCCACACCGGGGTCTCCCTCTCTTTCCTACTCACGTCACAGGCAAGGAGTGGCTGGTGACCCCTGGGCTCGCCGGCCCAGTGCCCTCCCCCTGCCCTCGTGAGCCAGCTGACGGCGGCCCTGCCAGCCCGCCAGCAGAGTGAGCGGCACCAGGCCCCGAAAAGGCAGAGGCAGCTGTGCGCACCGCCCTCACGGCAGGCTTCTCCTCGGGGGCAGTGACCTGCTTT